TCGCCCCGCTCACCAGCCGCGTTGTCCAGCGATCTGCGCATGTGCAGATCACCCGAACCCGGCTCTTCCGGGTTGTAATCTACTCGCCCATGGCGAGTAGATTACATAGTTTGTCGAGCCCTGCATATAATCCATAGTCAGCAATAACCCAAATTTAGGTGATGAAATGTAACGAGAGTTTAAGATATCAGGGAAGTATTTGAGTGATTTTCCTGACTTTCTCTCATAGTTTGTCGAGCCCTCCATATAATCCATAGTCATCAATAACCCAAATTTAGGTGATGAAATTTAACGAGAGTTTAAGATATCAGGGAAGTATTTGAGTGATTTTCCTGACTTTCTCTCATAGGCACCCCAGCTCATCCCTGCTAGTATTACGACAGTGCTGAGCGGGGCCAAATAAGTACTTAAGTAGATGCATGGAATCAACGGGCTCTGACCTCAGTAGTGACAGTCACACTGCCAGAAGGCTGATCAGGTTTCCAATTCTGTCTACCAAGGGCTGTTCAGCCTGCAGCAAACTGTAAAGGAGGCTAAACAATCCTGCGGTTGAGGGTTTCTAGCCAAAAGAAAACCCTGCACGATGCCCCAAGAGAAGGAGGCTGGGTAGGGAAGACAGTCAGATTTGCTTTTATATAGGCCCCCTTATTTACGTGCAGGCTGGGACCTGGTCATGAGAGAGCTCGATTCCGGGCTCAGCAAGGTTGAGTGGAGAGCAAGAGGCCCCAGGACACACGACAATCCTGCGGTTGAGGGTTTCTAGCCAAAAGAAAACCCTGCACGATGCCCCAAGAGAAGGAGGCTGGGTAGGGAAGACAGTCAGATTTGCTTTTATATAGGCCCCCTTATTTACGTGCAGGCTGGGACCTGGTCATGAGAGAGCTCGATTCCGGGCTCAGCAAGGTTGAGTGGAGAGCAAGAGGCCCCAGGACACACGAGGCTCTGGTGAGGTCACTTGTGGAGAGCAGGCAGGGGCGGGCGGAGGGCAGCAGCCCTGAGGGGGGTGGAGGCAGGGTCCTCGGGGAGGGGATGGCAAAGCAGTGAGGTGCCAGTGATGGGCAGGTCGGAAGGGAGGTGGGGGGAGGGGGATTCTT